TTTAACTACGCAGAGGTGAACATTCTTAATGAGCTTTCATGGGGATACATGGGGAGATCTTTCCCTGCTTTTATTTATATTTTTATTTAAAGTTTGAGGAGACAACACAGAATAGCCTCCCTCGACGGCACAAAGTCTGCTTTTAAATGTCTTTCTGTTTCTTTTGGATCCTTTGTCTCTTTTATTTCTTTGATAAATCCTCAACAACAGGATTAGTGGAAAAATGCATGTTGAAGGACAGTGAACATTTGAGTCTACATATTCAGATTCAGACTCTAAAGATTATTCAGTTGAAATCCTAAGAATTTAGGTATTAAACTTGATATACATTTTGGAATATTCCCTTTATAATCTGTTTCTTTTTCCTTTCCTCATACAAGATGTACAGTTTATAAATTAAATTTATTCTTTAGAGATTAAACAGACAACAGCAAAAGTATAAAAAAGCATAAATAAACTTTCCGGGTTGATCATTTTAGGACCGTTAAGCAGCCATAGAACCAAGGAGTCGTGTAACAATATTCTTGTCTAAGATCCTAGTATCTTAGCATCTTAGACAAGAACAACTTAACATTTGAGGTTTTATATTTATTTGCATGTGTAAAATTTACGTCAACATAAATATTAAAAATGTTAGCTGAAAAAAATTGACATGTTCAATACATGATTCACGCACTTCCTATTATGTGTTTTTCTAAAACTCAAGGTCACAAACCAGGTTTTAGACCTACTCACAGTAGTGTAGGAGTTTTCAATGGAGTGAATTTCGTTTTATTATTTATTTCATTATTGTTGCAAGCAGTGTGCGAAATACCTGTCAATATTTGGGGGGGTCCCCATCTCCTGATTATTGCGCAATACCCATCAAAATTTTCTTAATATGCAATAGGCCTATAACATTGCAATGTCAAAGTTAAAGTTGCTTTAATGTCAATTCTTCACATTCACCAGACATACAAGGATAAGATCAGTTTCTAATACTAAAATTTAAACATTCAATTTCACAATAAAATATAAAATGTACAATAATATAAAATAAACAATGCTGATGACTAATGACCATTGGTGAAAAAAAAAATTTATTTTTAATTTTTTGACACAATTGAAGACCCCCTTTGAATTTTGCTTTGGAGGCTTTCAGGGGGTCTCATGGGTTAATCGCGGGGCTCGACCCCCCCCGAACCCCCCCGTATTTCGCACTCTGGTTGCAAGCAAAGCACACATTCTTTTAATGGAAACTTAAAAGGAGAAAAAAAAACATCACAGTTTTAACACTTTATTTACAGTTACACTTTTTTTTTTCCAGTTTTAGTTTTTCTGGGGATTCAACATAATTATTTTTTGGCTCATTTATTATTTTTTTTAACAAACTTTATGGCCCCTGATTGGCTCTATGACATTGAAGCACTCAGATAAGAAGATTTAAACTGAACTTAAAACAGCAAGCCTACGGGATCTTTATGATGCTAATCAAATATTGAATGAACAGTATTAAAAGCGGAGGTCAGGGAAAACAGAAAAAGAAATATTTTCACGCCATTTGCTTCTCTTGCCAAAGCTGTTTTAATCACATGGCTACTTCTAAAACCACTGTGTAAAAAATATACATTAGTACTTCATCATTTACTGCTTTTTGTGTTTTCAACAATGGCAGATAGTAACTGATCTGTAATTATTGAGGGTGTTCTCTTTTAACAGTGGCGTAAAATGTGTGAAAGCACCAGCAGATGTTCCAGGAAGTCAAAAAGCCCAACATTTGGCCCACAGCTGGCGAAATGTTGAAAGGACAATATTAGTGCCATTACTGATAACATATAGTAGAAATTTAACACATTCAGGAATAAAATGTAACATCGGATGATATGAGGGATGTTTATTTAAGAAGGGGGATTATTTATTAAAGAAGGGGCCCCACTCATCCCCCCTAAACTCGGGTACTGGATAAAGAACTTCTCTATTTAATTCTGGGTCCCCTATGCTCTCCAACTTATTTGCCACCACTTCTGGAAAAATCCAGAGTGGGTGACATGAAATAGAGATGAATTTGAAAATATGGGATTAATATTTTAGATGTATTAATGTAGAAAAATATGTTAAATTAAGATATCTGAATATATAAGCTCTGCTTGGTGCTTTGCTGACAATGTAACCAGCAGCGAAACCATCGCCCACTTCTGTGAATTAATCCCGTATCCTCCCCTCCATCTTCTGCTCTCTTATGTGAAGAAGGCACTAAAATACTACAACTACTTGCCCTGACCCTCAGGGAATATTTCACTTTTTTCTAGCTTAGACCCATTTTGTCCAGTTCAGTCAAATTAATTTCATTACACTTAAATCTAATTCAACCACAAAATGATTTCTTTTTACATCCATTCATTATTCTTCCCCATTTCCTTAATTTATTTTTAAGAGGTACCAAACAGGGAGGTCTCACACAGGCTTTCCAGAGACAAAAAGTCAGACCTCCCTTCTCTGTCAGCATCAAGACTCCCGAGTTTCTGTTAAACTCTTTAAAACCCAAACTTTTACCTGAAAAAAAGACCTACTAGCTCTCCCTGTTTTGTTGACAGTCCTGCTTCCTTCTGCATTACTACTCAAAGAGAGACAAGTGACGAGCTTGCTGACGAGAAAATAATAGAGGTTGTAAAATAAAACGTGGGCAATGTCATGTCCTCCCCCTATGTGCACAGTCTGCAGCAGGAAGAAGTAGCACCTACACTGTTTGACAGCGGCAATAAAAATGAACAAGTTCCAAAGCAGTAAAACTATTTCCTCTCCTCATGGAGGCAGAGCAAAGGGCTGCATGGCAGCATAATCAGACAGCAGACTGACACCAAGTGGGTTATGATCAAAAAGTTTCCATGCCAAGTGTGTCAGTAAACAGCTGCCTGTTTACAAATCTGTCACGTGTGGAACTGAATTAGTATTCACTTACAGTTGTTTGTAAGTACATTGGTTCATAGCACTTCAACACTTACTTTTCCTGCTTTAATGCTTTACCAGGTATAAAAAGAAACTTCCTAATTTACATGCAGTCCTGTAGAAATGTAGAAATATATTATGACATTTTTCAAAAGTTTATTAAGGGAAACTACCTTAATAATGATAATATTCATCTAGATTTCACTTCATTAAGAGATTAAGGTGAACTCAAACAGAAAAAGTCTTGAGTGAAACATTAAGTACACCTTAATAATCCATTGATGCGGGAAACTGTCAGCAGGAACAATTACTCTTGACAGTCTCCAAAAGCTGTTAGGGGTACAGTATTTTGATCACTCTTCTTTCCAACGATACTTGAGTTCACAAAAAATTCTGCACAGCTCTCTGAAGGTCACACATCCAGTCTGGACTTTGAAAGGGCCAAAACTGACTCGTAAACACATAACTTCCTGCTCCTCATGCCAGGCATTTACATTATATTGGTGAAACTTGCCATAAGCCTTTTAAGTCTGCCACCAGCCTGTTGAGCCTCCTACCAGCCTGTTCAGCATGCCACCAGCCTGTTCAGCCAGCCCCCAGACTGTTCAGTATGTTTCCCGCTTGTTCAGCCAGCCCCCAGCCTGTTCAGTATGCCACAAGCCTGTTCAGCCTAGCATCAACCTGTCAATACTGGACTCAGGCTGTTGAGTCTGCCACCAGCCTGTTGAGTCTGCCCCCAGCCTGTTGAGTCTGCCACTAACCTGTTCAGGCTGTCACCAGCCTGTTCATTACATCACCAGCCTGTTCATTACATCACCAGCCTGTCACAAGCCTGTTCAGTATGCCATCAGCCTGTTCAGCCTGTCACCAGCCTGCTCATTACATCACCAGCCTGTTCAGTCAGCCCCCAGCCTGTTCAGTATGCCACAAGCCTGTTCAGCCTAGCACCAACCTGTCAATACTGGACTCAGGCTGTTGAGTCTGCCACCAGCCTGTTCAGCCTTCCACTAACCTGTTCAGCCTGTCACCAGCCTGTTCATTACGTCACCAGCCTGTTCAGCCTGTTCAGCCTCCCACCAACCAGTTCAGCCTCCCACCAGCCTGTTCAGCCTGCCACCAGCCTGTTTAGCCTACCATCAGCCTGTTCACTCTGCCACTAGCCTGTTAACTCTGCCACCAGCCTATTCAGAATGCCACCAGCCTGTTCAGCCTTCCACTAGCCTGTTCAGCCTGCCACCAGCCTGTTAACTCTGCCACCAGCCTATTCAGCCTGCCATCATCCTCTTAACTCTGCCACCAGCCTTTTCTGCCTGTAACCAGCCTCTGCCACCAGCCTGTCAAGTCTGCCACCAGCCTGTCAAATCTGCCACTGGCTTGTTCAGCCTCCAACCAGACTGTTCAGCCTCCAACCAGCCTGTTAAGTCTGCAACCAGCTTGTTCAGCCTGCCATCCGCCTATGAAAGGAACAACACTGGCTTTGGTAAACACCTAACTTCCTGCTCTACTAATACATGCCAGGCATTTACATCATATTGGTGAAAAAGGGAACGAAACATGCAATAACTGCTGGTTCTTTAAGGTCATTGCTGAAGTCTTTCAACTCTGGCATGAGGTTAGCCCACACTTCACTGCTACAGGGCAAGAATGGACTAAAGACCTGTTATCAAAGAGCTGTTCAAACTGCTGAGGGTCATTTCAGTTAATCAACACATTTGATCAACAGCATTGTAACAGCAGGGGTGCACTTCATTTTTTTTACAAGGGGATTTTTCAAAGTGGTTCCACCTTTGTTATTGGAAATACAGTAAATAAAGAATGAAAAACTCTCCAGTTGAAGGAAGGTGTAGTGTCTTGTTTCATAACTGTTTAAAAATTTTTATGAAGTAAATTCAGCTTTTTCTAAGCAGATTAACTTATCTGGGCGTAAAGTTGAGTCTGTTTGTGTTCAATTTGAGGAAATACAACTTTTTTGTGTTGCAGTAGAGAAGATAAAGAGAAGCATATTAAAAATAAAGCAGCATATGCAGAATGGAGCAGAGGAGGTGGAGGAGGATGGATCAGGTGAGTAATCTTACCATCGTCTCCAGATCCCGATCCAGCATCTGCAGAGAGAACAAACACAGTTATTAACCACAGACTCTCGCAGCCACAAACATTAGCTGAATGAGCGAGTGTCTGCATAAGGAAGTGTTTGTCTGGGCCTGCTTGACTGTAAGCCTGTGGTTGCGTGTTTAGAGGACACTGTTGTTGTGGGGAGTGGTTAGGACAGGATGAGATTTCTTTAACAATCTAGCAGAAAGTAATTCAGCGAGTCGGATTTAAAAGGAAAACACAGGCGAAATAAGAAGGATGAAGCTGGAATGGAGGACGAGTGGATGCTTTGAGCTCCAGGGGTGCTCACAGCTCTGCAGAAGCAGCAGGAAGGCACACACTGTTTCCAGCTGCGGCTCTGTTTGTGTGTCAGCGAATCCTTTTCCACGGCTTTCCCGCTGAATCTATGTAAAGCCTCACCAATACACTGGGTTTACTCAACGGTTCAACAATACAGCTGTGAAAGGGATACTCAGGAGCACTCGGGAGAGAAGCGTAACCTGATCAGCCTCAAAAAGTGATCCGCTAAAATACACAGAGACCAGATGCAGGCGGGTCCTCAGAGGACATTGAGGGGATAATAGCTCATCTTTCTATAAGGACCTGTGTGTGAGATGGGTTTATAAGAAGAGGTGCGCAGAGAGGGATGGTAGGGGTGTCATCAAGGAATCTGAGCAGACCACTGACACTGATATGAGAATGGCGTAAGATTCGGATCAATAAAATACATTTTTAAACAGGAACACGTCTGTGTTGTGATGATTCTCTGACCATCAGCAGACAGACAGATGTGTCTGGGGAAAAGCTGCCCATTAAGAAAGACAATACCAGAGATGCTGCAAACAGATCCGATTTCAAAGGTTTTAAACTGGCTTTAAAATTAAGGGGGAAATAAAAATCAGATTTAAGGTGCTGTAGTTCTAAACTGATGGTTGAGATGAAGCCTCTGTCATAAAGGTAAATATCTGCTAAGACCAACTGTGTTTCTGCAGCATCAGCCCAATTTAACAAGGCAAACAATTCTATCGAATCAACGCGTGATCAGATCACTCAGTTTGCAGGGGTTCAGTGTTTCGTCAGGCAGAAGGAAAAACCCTTTTAGCAGTTTGGTGGTTGTGCTTTTTACGTGAAGGATGCAAGTAAGGAGTGCCTTTCTTTCTGTACTCCGAGGAAGATCCTGCTATCCATTCTGGACTCTCAGAGCATCCTCATTAGGAAGGTATTTTAGCCTAACTAATGAACAAAGTAGTTGCAGTTGATGTATATATGGACTGCATGAATATGTGAGGAGTTTTATGCAGCATGCATTTCTCATTTAGCTCACACTAAATCTGTGGGTTATGTAGCTTTGACTCCTTTATTGTTTTTTCAAGAATGCATGCCTATGGCAATGCTAAATGTTTTCTAACAGAATGTAACTTTCTTTGTCATTCCTGCTGCAGCTGTTTAGATTCAGCCTGTTATTTTTAGACGATAAACGGAATTATTTGTCCATATCTATGTTGTATAAAACCACTTATACCTACGTCATTGTCTCATTTTTTTTCAATTTGATTTCATCAAAGCATCTTTCAGAGATTCATTCATCCTAGGTGAGATTAATATGTATTTTAGAGAAGTTTGAAAAAAATGTTCAACAAAAAGCCCTTCGCTGATCCTAGATGATGCTGCAACATTTTTTTTAGACTTAAAAGAAGGGATTATATTTCTCTAAATTTAGTTTCTCTCTATTGGCTCATTCTTTAATCCGAAATGGATTTCAAATTCTCCTTCTTAAAAATAAAACCTTTTATTTTTCTAATTTCCACGTATTGAATCATTTTCTCTGAGACCTAACGGTTGCAGGTTGTTCCTGGACTTTTAAAAGCAAAAAGGGAGGCAGATCTGTGAAACCAGTTCCCTGTTTGAGTTCATGAGAGAAAAACCTGACAACATTTAAGACAAACTCACTTTCCTCTTTGGTAGAGATCACAGTTAGAGCAACTTTAGTGAATAGTGAATGAGAAAATTTTGGCTTTAAATTTGCATTTTATTACCTGAAGAGATGTTGAAAATGGAACGTTTTGAATATGAACATGTCAGTGACTGTAAGCAAATGTGGTTGTACTTGAATTGAACCAGTTAATTTTAATGTAAAGAGCATATAAAACAGATGGAAATAGACTCAAATAGACTCAGCTCTACTCTGTCATTAGAAATTTAAAAGAAAATAAGGTCTCCTTAGAGAGGTGGAAAAAGGGTGGCACAGTGGGTGGCTGCGTTGTCTTGTAAAAGGTTGCTCTTGGGTTGGAATCCTAGCTACAGGTTTTATATGTGGCAAATTGTATCTCACTGGCTACTCCAAAGAAATCCTTTCAGTTCATTTATATAGTGCACATTTACAGCAGGTGTTATATCCAGGTTCTTTACAGAGAAAAGTCAGATTGGTTTAACATTTTCTGACTAAAGTCCAATTTATGCTTCTGACGCATAGCCTCTGCAACTGTCAAATCTGTCAAATGTTCTGCAACCGTCGACGTGTACCTCCAAAAAATCCTGACTACAAGTCGTAGGGTTGCAAACATGTGTAGATGATTGGTCCTTGGTATGCCTTTCCAGCTGTCTGTGTGGTCGTCCTTCTGGATTCTTTGCCGGGGTGCGCCATCTTAAAAAAAACCGAGGAACAACTACCATGGAAAACCACAATGAAAGGTTAATCGGTCTTTTTGCCAACCGCATTAACAGAACCTATTCCTCTTCGATGTCTAGCAATTCTAGATCCATCTCTGTGACCGTGATATCTTGCAGAAGCGTCATTGTTTTTTTGCAAGATAAACACTCCCGCTGGCGCCGCCTAAGTTCTCGTGACCATCCGCCAAAGTTCTCGTGACTTCTTGAATAGGCTCCCCCTTGTGCTTTGGCGGGAAACTGCTTTGCTTCCATGGAAATTCCAGATAAATGGTGCAGAAGCATACCTGCAAAACTGGTTCGCGACCAGACCAAAGCGACATTTGAGGTGTGCGGTTGCAGAAGTATAATCTGCTCTTTAGGACACCCAGCTGGTTGCATCCAGACATTTACTTTACAGGATTAGCTCCTCCTGGATGAACGTGTGGCGATAGTCGACATTCTGTAGTTGACTATACAGCAATCCCTCACACAGTGCATGCATGCGGCAACGGTGGAGAGAAAGAAACCGGCAGAACCAGGCTGGTCGATTGACAAAAGCAGACACACAAAGGAATATAGATAGAAGAACTGATTGACAAATACTTTCTTAGAAAAGGTAACAGTAAACTATCTCCATAGGTTGCTCTGTTTCAGAGAGACACGGTTAAATAGATGAACTATGAGCCAGTTTTCTGATGGAAAACGGTAAAGAGATCACACAGATTTAGTCACAGTAAACTAAATAACCCGTTAGGTTATTTAGTCTCTTTAAATTGTTCTTAGATATGAATGCATGCATGAATGCTAATTTCTGACTTGTCTCTTGCACAGTGAGCACTCTAGATAGAGGGAAGCAAGAATAGAATTTCTATCCTGACAGAGAATATTTATGTAAAATCCAACCACAGTGTAAACTGGAAAAGTTTTAAGATCAAAAATAAAGGACAATCTTCGAACTGTGTGGGTTTTTATTTCTATAACTCAGCTTAGCTGTAGAAAATATCAGCCTCTCCTTGAGTGACTTGATAGAAACGAAAAAGAAAGACAAGAGAGAAGTGAACATTTGGCAAGAATATGTAATAAATTCTCAGCTAATGTAAGACAGAGAAGCTGAATCTGCAGTATTGAACTTTATCCCTCTAAGACCAAATAATAACCAAGGTTTTTCTTTTCTTTTAGAAATAACTCAGATGCATAGCTTTAATCACAGATAGAAAAAAAGTTCTTTGAACCTCCTCTGCAAAAGCTCCCTCTTTCATTCTCTTTCAATCTGCAGTATTTTATTGACTTTGGAGCATGTGGGACACTAAGTGTGCAGTGTTTCGTGAAAAGGCTTAGCTTGAAGGATAAGGCTCAAGTCAGAAGGGGCTTGTGTTAAATCAATAAAAACCTTTAGTTGCAGAACAATAGCAGAGGTCTGAGGAGCCAGAGACACAATGCCCAATAAGATGAATAACAGTTTACATTTTTAACTTTCTGACTACCAGACCAGAGGTCGGCGGGGGCAACACCTGTTTTTAATCACAGGAATAAATGGAGAAGAAAAGGAGTGACTCGGTGGAAGAGAGGGCAGGTTTCTCTTTGTTTTGTACCAAATGATGAGAAAAGAAGAAAAATAAAAGAGAGCACCTTTTATTTTTAAACGTATATCCATTCGTCTCCAGACGCATAAGTTTAGTATTTTTATTAAAGCCTGAACTTTCTGCAATTTTCTGACTCTCAGATGTTTATTGCTTGGTCTGCAAAGTGATTCAGATCTTTCCACTGCCTCAGTCTTCCACTCCTGTTGGAAGGAAACAGGAAGACTGTTTCGCTTCACTAGGCTAAAGCTCAACAGTTCCTCGGAGCATTTGATGTGATAGGGAAGAGCTGCCATCCTGGGCTAATCAGCTTCCTCTGAAGCTTTTCCATTCATAGTCTTTAAATCACAACATTTGGCTGAAGGTAACTAGAAAAAAACATGGCCTTTTCTTCTCATGCCATACAGGTATTTACTAAATGTCACAGTCTCTGTGATATTTGCCTGTCTGGCAATCATTTTCTACCACAGCTTTTATTCCAAAAATGAATAGCAGTTGTGTTTGTATGCCTTGCACTTAGCATGAAGGTTGCACCACAGCAGGCTATCTGTTTACTGTTTAGACTGCAACGTCTGGTCCTGTTGGCCCTGGCGGTTTAATACCAGGCTGCAGGAGAGGATGTGAGGCAGTTGAAGAAAGATGCTGGGTGCCAGTCATGTTCTGTAAACACGAGAGACCCGCTGATATCACTAGACCTGTCAGGTCGGGATTTCCAATGGGAAGGAAATGGGATTCGGGCAAAGAAAGGCTTAAAGTTTGCAGATATTTTTCTTCTCCGAGCT